AGCTGTGTGACTCAGTTTCCCCTCTGGGTGGAGGGGGGTCCTTGACTCATTATTCTGCCTGAGGGGGCGGAGCGGGTGAGCCTTGACTCGGTTTCCCCCCGGCCGGTGGGGACAGTTCTGAGTTAGTTTCCTCGTTGGGGGGAACGTATCTGACTCAGTTTCCTCCCAGGATTGGGAGTGGGGAGTGCCTCCCTTTGTTTTGCTTCTGAAAGTCAAGCAGGCCGTGACTCGGTTTCCCTCTTTAGAGGCAGGATTCCGTCCCCAGCTCCCCCTCGGGAAGCAGGTATTTCAGGCTCCTGTACCCCGACCCCCTAGCTTCCCTGCAGGTCCTAGGGAGCGAGTCCTAGTGCAGTTTCCCTGGAGGGGCCTGGCTCCGTCTCCCCTCCACGGGAAGCTGGTCCCCGGTGGTGACATGGGGAGTGGGCTTGTGCTGACGCTTGTCTCCCACCCCTTTCAGACTTGTTCCCCCTCATCTTCCCGTCTGGTAAGTGGACCATCCCCTCCGTGGTGGTTGGGAGGGGCTCCCCAGGGTCGGGCAATGGGGGCGGCTCCCTGATGGAGCCTTGACTGTGGCCCCAGCAGAGCCCGCACAGGCCTCCGGCCCTTATGTGGAGATCATCGAGCAGCCCAAGCAGCGCGGCATGCGCTTCCGCTACAAATGCGAGGGCCGCTCTGCTGGCAGTATCCCTGGGGAGAGGAGCACGGATACCACCAAGACTCACCCCACCATCAAGGTCAGCACTGGCTCCAGGCTAGGGTGGGGGGCGCAGGGTGTGGGGGCCACCATGCCCTCTGCTCTGTGTCTGGGAGTCAGGTTTGGAATTGCTAGACCTTCAGAGTACTCTCTGTACTTTGGACAGATCAATGGCTACACAGGACCAGGGACGGTTCGCATCTCCCTGGTCACCAAGGATCCCCCTCACAGGCCTCACCCTCACGAGCTTGTGGGGAAGGACTGCCGGGATGGCTTCTATGAGGCTGAGCTCTGCCCAGACCGCTGCATCCACAGGTGAACTCCCACAGACCAGGACTGAGGTGGAGGGAAAGGACATGGGGCAGTTGAGTAGTTGTTCCAGTCCCTTTCTGGACAGAGAGCAGAAGTTCCTCGCTGCTTGTTCTGTCCTCAGCTCTGCGACTTCCTTGGTCTTGAAGTTACTTGTTCGTGTGTCCACTCTCCCTAGCAGATGTGAGCTCCTTGGGATAGGGATGGGTTACTAATCACCCCTGAGCCCCTTCATCCCTGTGGCTGAACAAGAAGTCCTTCAGTGTCACATCTCTTGTATGAGAAAGGAAGCCATTGAATCAGTAGTCTCCCCTGGAGCTTACATACCAGTTGACAGAGATAGGCTGTAAATAAATACATAATTAAGCAAGCAAGCTACTGTTAGAGAATAATAACTTCAGTGATGAAAATCAGGGGGCTAGGCTGGGTTGGGGAGGCAGTGGGGGCTGGTCTCATTACATTAGATTGGGAGGTCAGAGAAGCCCTCTGTCAGCTAAGGAAAGGGAAGAGCAGAGAAGCATGGAAAGAACACTCCAAGCACAGCATGTAAGTGCAAAGGGCGGGAAATGGGAATGATTGAATGCGTTTGGAAAACAGCGAAGAAGCCCTGTGGCTGAGGTTAGGGAGCCAGTGGGAGGTAGGCATAGGTCATGTCACTCATGGGCTTGTAAGCTGAGGTAAGGAGTGGGTTTCATTGCAGCACAGTGGGAAGGCAGTGGAGAACAGAACGATGATCAGAAGGGTGGGATGGGGTGGAGGAAGGGGCAGACTGTGCAAGTCAGGAGGATCCAGGCGCTGCTGGGGATAGCAAAACTGATGCCTGAGGACACCTCAGTTTCCAGAACCTGGGGATCCAGTGTGTGAAGAAGCGGGACTTGGAACAGGCTATCAGTCAACGCATCCAGACCAACAACAACCCCTTCCAAGGTGAGAGGCGAAGATCTGAGCCTGCCTGCCGTATCCACACCTATCCCCAGTACTCCTTCCCTGCATTTCTTCCTCACTGACCAAGACTCACAGTACAGATGGAATCTTGCTGCTTGTTGCATATACGAACCGTAATACAGTCCCATCATATCATTGAAAACTGAGGCCCAAAACAGGCAAGACATTCAGGATAACATAACGGCAGAGTCAGTGATGGGTCTAGAACCTTTTCTTCCTTCTCCAAGACTATGCCTTCAAATGACCTCCCAGCTCAGAGCTCCCTGCCGCCCTCATTTCCCCCTTACCACCTCCCACTCCACCTCTCCTGACCATGTCTTTATTGTCAGTTCCCATAGAAGAGCAGCGAGGGGACTATGACCTGAATGCTGTGCGGCTGTGCTTCCAGGTGACAGTGCGGGACCCGGCAGGGAGGCCACTCCGCCTGCAACCTGTCCTCTCTCATCCCATCTTTGACAACCGTGAGTGGCCAGGGAGCTACAGGAAGGGGAGGGGGTGGGCCTAGGAAGGAGGAAGGGCGTTGGGGTGGGTGTGGCCTATGAGAGGTGCTCTGGCACCATTTCAGTCAGCCGCACATTTGTCAACTTTTCATCCCCAGCTCTGTGCTTGCTGGGCAGATGGGCCAAAGACAACTCAGAACTTCCCTTGAGACATAGCTTTGAGGCTGGGAGGGAATCTGACGGGAGATAGGCATTTTCTGTATTATGTGACAAGAAGGTGGTGTGCCCAGAACTGTTAATGATTAGGAAGTTAACTCCTGGGAACAAAACAACGTTTAGAATGGTAACTCAGTGATGGAAGCTCATGGATGAACTGGGTTGACATTGATCAGCCAGCTTTTACTTAAGTAGCCAGTAGGATGAAAGAAAGTAAAAGGGCTTTGGAGCCCCAAGAACAAGAAACCAGGATAGACTGGGTCAAGGTAGGTAAGAATCAGGCCTCAAAGATTGCTTGAGTTGGGGCTGGCAGGTGGTGTGGTGGTTAAGGGCTCTAGACTCCCACATGGCCAACCATGGTTCGAGTCCTGGACCTACTGGCTTGCTTTCTCACCCCACCACCCCAGGCAAATTAAAATAAATACATAAATAAATGAAGTTAAGTAAAATAATTATTTAAAAAAATAAAAAGATTGTTTGAGTCAGCTGGAGAAAGAAAAGATGTGCTCCAGTTGATTTACACTGAATCATGAGCTCCGTGTCATGAGCTCCGTGAAAACAGAGACGTTTACGTTTTATGCGTTGATGTATTCTCCTTGCCAGCAACAGTGTTGAACATAGAGTAGGTAAATAGTTGCTGAATAGGTTGGGGTAAGGAGCCAGTGGGTTGGTCTGACTTCAGCTACAAAGTGTGGTCAGCAAGCCTTGTCTCTGGGCCAGGCAGGTATGTTGCATCTTCTGCAGGCTACCCTGGGCACTTCTGGTGGCTCAAGGCGTCCTTCCTTTTGCTCACACTCTCAGGTGCCCCCAACACTGCTGAGCTCAAGATCTGCCGAGTGAACCGAAACTCTGGGAGCTGCCTCGGTGGGGATGAGATCTTCTTGCTGTGTGACAAGGTGCAGAAAGGTACACACCAGGAGGCAGGGCTGGACTCTGGAGCATGAGGTGAGGGGTAAGGCTGAGCAGAGATAGGGTGTTTCAGGGCTTTCAGTACTCCATCCAGTCCCTCAGGGCCTCAGGTGGGTGTTGACACTTCAGGAGATGAGCTTCAGGAGTTGGGAAGGCTTAGACGCACTGACCCACATTGCTGCCCTGTCTCCTGCAGAGGACATCGAGGTGTATTTCACGGGACCAGGCTGGGAGGCCCGAGGCTCCTTTTCACAAGCTGATGTGCATCGACAAGTGGCCATCGTGTTCCGGACCCCTCCCTATGCAGACCCCAGCCTGCAGGCCCCTGTACGCGTCTCTATGCAGCTGCGGCGGCCTTCCGATCGGGAGCTCAGTGAGCCCATGGAATTCCAGTACCTGCCAGACACAGGTACACGGGAGCTTGGGAGGATACTGGTAGGGCTGTTGGCTCTGTCCCATGAGAGGGAGACTGGGGCTGGATGTCTGTGGCTGGAGTTGAAGGCCAAGAGTAGAGTTGGAGCTTGGTAATTATAGTTACCAGAATTCATTTCTTGTCATATCTAATAATGATGGTACCCAGGACTTACTGAACTCATACTGTGTGGCTGCCCCAACTTTAAGCATTTCAGTAAATGACTGATTTTTCTTCCCTTCTAAACTTTTTAAGGTGGGAGGTGGTGTCCCACTTAATTGCACTCACCTGCTGCTGAAAAGCCGAGCTGGCATTTGAGCCTAGGTTGCATGACTCATGGGTCCTCTTGCCATGCTGTCTGTCTCTTGTCACTATCACATGGTTGTGTTTTGGTCAAGGCTTACTTTGTACCAGGGCCTGGGCCAGGTGTTATGAATACAAGGGTGATGTTCCCTGTCCTTCAGCAGCTCAGCCACATGAGGAAGACAAGCGTGCAAAACAGATCCTTAAGTTACAGAATGATATGTGAGACAGAGGTGTGTGGAGTGCCATGGGAGACAGAGACAAGGAACTGAAAGGGCTGCATGGAAGAGGTGGCATTTCGCTTGGAGAAAAGCACGAAAGTGCATTATCCAGGCAGGTGATCCAGCACCTGGAAGGCAAGGCTATTGGCGAGTGTACGGCATCTTCAGAGGCATCTTTGTGGTGGGAGCTGGTGCTGGGTAGTCAACAGGCCCAGTCAGATGAGGGACTGGTTAGGCTCAAGGCCATCATCCAGGGTTTCAGCCTGAAGGCAGTGGGGAGCCACCGAAGGCTTCTAAGTAGAGGAGTGGCATAAGTGGATCTGGAAGCTGATTCTGCTGGCCACATGTAGAGGATCAGAGGCAGGAGGCCATTTGGAAGATGCTGCAGTAGTCCAGGAAGAGAAGATGCGGCATACACTTTGCAGGAGGAGTGGAAGAGTGAGCAGATTGTATCTCTACTGCCATCTTCCTACCCTCCAGCCTCACAACTTTTTGTGTCTGATACACACCAAGTTCAGTCGCGTTCTAGCTATTTGCTTGGAATGCCTGGTTCCCACACTGTCACGTGACCACCTCTTAAGTTAGACTCTTCTGACCTCATTATCATCTTGTTTATCTTCCTCAGAGCCCCTTTTACTTATTTTTTTTAGAGAGAGGTTTTTGCTATAGGGCGTGTGTTGGACAGACAGAAACAGACAGAAAGTGGGGGGATAGCCATACCATAATCCCTTCCCCATTTTCCTTGGGATTTGGGGCATGCACACACACATACCTGGTGTGAGTTTGAAGCTGCCAGATCTGGGACTTGAACCACTGTTAACTATGTGGAGTCCAGCGATGTAACCATTACGCCATCTGCTGGTCCCTCCCTCCCTTACTTCTTGAGATTTTCTCGTTTCTGTAGTTGGTTGTGTCCATATCCCTCTCTTACTAGGATGTCAGGTTTTGGGGAGTAGACAGATTGTATGCCTACTCACAGCCAACTCCCCAGTGGTGAGGAAGGTGGATGTCTCATAGTAGGTGCTTGGCAAATATATGCCAATTTATCGAAGGGTGGGAAATGAGAGAAAGGATGTTGAGGGTGATTCCAAGGTTTCTAACTTTGGTGACAGGGCAGATGGTTGATCAGGGAACACAAAAGGAGAAATAACGGGAACCAGCAGTTAGCGTAATGGCTGTGTCGCTGGACTCCCATGTAGTCAACCGCGGTTCGCGTCTCGGACCCGGTGGCTTAAATCTCACGCCAGGCGCGTGTGCATGCGTGCCCAAGATCCCGAGAGGAGAATGGAGGAGAAGGGATTGCGGCGTGACCATCCCCCCTGGGGGGTGATTTCTCGCTTTCTGTCTCTATGTCTCTGTCTGTCTGGCGAGCGCACGCGCCCTATAGCGAAAACCTCTCCAAAAAAAAAAGGAGAAATAACCAGAGTGAAGATGCTGAACTTGGCTTTGGACTGATGGAACCGAGGTGTTTTGGAGTTAATTATCCAAGTGTCGTGGCAGTTAGGCAGTTCTTAAGGCTCCAGACTAAAGGATCAAACCACTAGAGATAAGAGTCTGTTGAAGTCTTAAGCCTGTTGTACCTCAGCTACCTGAGTGCAAAGAGATTACCGCCAGCCTGGATCAAGGCTGAGAAGAGCTAGGACGTGAGCAGATACAGGTGAGAGATGAATTGGAGGATGGGGGCCCTGGGAGGCCTGCTGTTCCCCAAAGCATGGCCTCTTTTATTTGGCATTACCCATGAAAGGCAGGTTCAGCCAACAGAGACTTTCCCAGAAAGCTGTGGGAGGCTTAGAATGGCTGAGTGTCACTATGTCACACACGCCTTCTCATTGACTGAGAAGGTTAACAGAATGGGTCCTGGGAAAGCCTTTTTCCTCACCTTCCTCCTGAGGGGCTTCTGAGAGTGTTGGGGACCCGTGCTGTGGAGAGCGAGACCCATTTTTCTCACTACTTTCCCAGATGATCGTCACCGGATTGAGGAGAAACGCAAAAGGACGTATGAGACTTTCAAGAGCATCATGAAGAAGAGTCCTTTCAATGGTGAGATGGGGAGTCAGGAGAGCCAGAGAGAAAGGCAGTGGTAGGGGAGGGGATACCCTGGGACTGAAAACTGACCCAACCATGGTCCTGCAGGACCCACCGACCCTCGGCCTCCACCCCGGCGCATTGCTGTGCCTTCCCGCAGCTCAACTTCCATTCCCAAGCCAGGTAAGCGTTTTCTCTTGTCCCACTGGAACAGCAGGTTCAAATCTGCTCTGCCCGACACCTGGAGAGAGACAGGCAGGAGTCAGCCTCACCAGTAGGTGTCTGCAGCCTACTCTTGTGTTTCTCGGGGTGAGGTCCGGTAACCTCTGATGTCATTTGGGGAGCAGTGGAGGTACAGATTCCTGGACTCCATTACAGACCTACCTACTGAAGCAGAGGCTTAGAAGTGTGGCTTGGGAACTGGCAACTTCCTGAGGAATCTCAGGCACATTAAAGTCTGAGAACCACTGTGCCAGTTGAACTCCAGGATACTTGGGGATACAGAAGTTAAAAATGCATGGTCTCTGCTCTCAGCTCTCGTTTCAATTAGGGAAACAAAAAGTCCCCTCTGAAGTAGCAGGATGTGTGTACTGTGTGGCTCAATAAAGAGCGACAGAATGCCCACCCAGGCTACTCTTTACTGGGTGCTCCATGGGCTTATCCCCTCCTGGGGCTTGGTTTGTTAGCTATAAAATGAGGAGTCCAGATGATCTCTGAAAAGTGTCTCTTCCTATAAATGGCTGAGAAAGCTTTAAGAGGTCTGCAGTTTTAATTAAGAGAGCTTTATGGGTTCTAGTAGTCAGGGAGGGCTCCAGTGAGGTGCGGTAGAACCAGACCCTACAGGCTGGGTCAGATTGGGTAAGAGGAAGGAGCTCAGTTGTTGGCACCGACTCGATAGAGAAGGTCTGGGTACAGAGAAAGGGGCGGGTCTCTGGGGCTTTCTCTGACCCCTACTTCTCTGTCTCTTTCCTCCAGCCCCCCAGCCCTATCCCTTTCCACCATCCCTCAGCACCATCAACTTTGATGAGTTTTCTTCTCCCGTGGTGTTCCCTTCTGGGCAGCTCCCATGCCAGGCCTTGGCAACAGCTCCTACCCCAATCCTGAACCAGGTCTCAGCCTCTGCCCCTGCCCCAGCCATGGCATCAGCTCTGGCCCCAGGCCCAGCCCCTGGCTCAGTCCTGGCCCCTGGCCCTCCTCAGCCTGTAGCCCCACCTGCCCCCAAGACCACCCAGGCTGGGGAAGGAACACTGACAGAGGCCCTGCTGCAGCTGCAGTTTGATGCTGATGAAGACCTGGGGGCCTTGCTTGGCAATAGCACAGACCCAGCCGTGTTCACGGACCTGGCATCGGTCGACAACTCTGAGTTTC